CCTGGCCGCCAACAGCTCGCTGTCCTGGTCCCCCGGCTCGGCCTGCGGTTTGGGCTTCGTGCCCGTGGTCTACTACAGCCTGCTGCTGTGCCTCGGCTTGCCAGGTGAGGGGTGTGGGGGAGAGGGAGGGCAGTGAGGGGCCCTAGGTGCTGAGCCCAGAGCCCCCAGCCCCTGCTCCGGGCGTTCCCTGGCGCCCCCCGGAAAAAGTTTAAGCCTTAAGGACAACTGCGGAGATTACCAGACTGGAGGGAGGGGGGGAGCTGCTGTGGCCTGGAGGGGACCGTGTGTGTGTGTGTGTGTGTGTGTGTGTGTGTGTGTGTGTACACGCATGTGTGCGCGCGGGATGTAGGGGCAGGCGGACGACGGGCATGGTGTAAGTGTGAGTTGATGTGGTGTGTGTGGATTCGAGGGCGCTTTTTGTGCGCGTCTGGAGGGGACAGCGTTGGGGGCGTCGGTGGCGGGTTGTGTGTTACTTGACTGCCCGTTCTGGACAGAAGGCTTCATGAAGACGTCCCTCCTCTCGTGCCCCTGCGCGTCCTCCCACCGCGAGCACCTCTGCCCCTCTGCCCCTCTGCGTGTCCCCGTCTGATGAAACCAGACACCCTGGTGCTGGACACTGGGATAGAGCACAGATGCCTCTTGCTCCCACCCCTGAAGGAGAAAGGGGTCTTCCCGCAGATGAGGAGAGTCGGGGTGGCTCTGGGACCGTGTCCTGGCCAGGGCAAGGGTGCGGGGACTCACTGGGCCGTGGTGGCTGCCACCTTGGGGGGTCACAGTCTCCTTGAGGACCTGCCTCACCCCCTAGCTTTGCTTCCAGGTCCACCAACCCTGGGCAACTCAGGGCTGCTGCGGATTTCCGGCTGGTCCCATATCTTAATGTCCTCTCCAAAGTGTGGCTGAGACTTGTGCTGAATTCCTGAAGAGAGCTGTGCTGTTGTGGGGTGGGAGGGCTGCTTGCTGGGGTCCTTTGATGGAGCGGGGAGGCGAGAGAGAGAGAGAGAGAGAGAGAGAGAGAGAGAGAGAGAGAGAGAGAGAGAGAAGACAGTGACAGAGACAGAGAGAGATGAGAGGGGGGAGACAGAGAGAGATGAGAGGGGGGGACAGAGACAGAGAAAGAGAGGAGACAGAGAGAGACAGGTAGATGAGAGAGAGAAGGGGAGAGAAAGAGGAGAGAGACAGAGACAGATGAGATAGAGAGACAGATGAGAGAGAGAAGGGAAGAGACAGACAGAGAGAAACAGAAAGAGATTAGATAGAGTCAGAGACAGATGAGATTGAGAGGTTTTTTTCCTAGGCCCCAGCTTTGAACAGCCCCTCCTTCCAGTCTCTGTGGCAGATATATTCCTAAAGATCACCTGCATGCAGAGAGGACAGAGGGACAGAAAGCAGCAGAAAGAAAAAAAGCCCAATGTGCAGCCTAAAAATGTGAGCATCTTCTCCCGGTCATTGTCTAGTCTGAGAACCACAACGTCCTGGGATCCCGGGAACTTGGGAGCTGGGTTTCTGAGACCCTGGTTGAGATTTCCTTTCCAAAACATTCAGCTTGGCAGCTAGGGCCCCTGAGGAGGTCATTTAAATAAATCCCTCCTCCCAATGGACACAAGAAGGCACAAGTTTACTAATGTGTGAGCCTCCCTCCCCCCTACCCCACGAGTGATGAGGTTTTTATTCCTGACTAATCGCTCTGGCTGCCCTAGGAGAGAAGCTCTGCCTCTGAAGTGCCCTGCCAGGGTGGTAGCACGTGTCCTATAATTACCTTGAGCTGGGATTGATTTCAGTCCTGGTTCTACTCCCCCTTCGGCCCTTCCGAGCCTCTCTCCTAAGTGCTCTTTGGGAAATGAGTTTTTGAGAAGGTTGGCTATTGGTGATGCTTGCTGAACTGGAGAAGCTGCAGACCCCCTTCCTCCCCCTCAGATTCCCCCCATCAGAATGTTTCTGGCCTCTTCCTGTCTTTCCCCTATTGACTGAGGCAGCCACTCACTCTCCCAGGCTTTTTGAATGAAAATCCTTTAAGGGACATAAAGACAGACGAGGGAGAGGCTGACCCTCTCAGAGTGCAAAACAAGGACATGAGGTTGGGAAGAATGAAGGAAACCTCGGACCTTCGGAGACATCCAGGTACCTCGGGCCTTCACAGCCTGACTTCTGTGCCAACTAGGGCCTTTCTGACCCGCAGCATTGGCACCTACTGTATGCCAGGCACTGTGCTAGGCAAGGACTTTGTCCAGAGTTTGAGAACTTACAAACATGAAGTTAGGATTAGAGCTTGGCAGGTGTTGATGTGTTCATACTCTTAACCAACAGTTTTGGCCACATATGGTAAGCCACGTGTTAAGAAGAAGTCAAGGACACGGTGCAGTTTGTGAGTTCAAGGAGCTCACAAATGGAAGCCTGTGATTCCAAAGGCAGCAGGTAGGTGCAGAAGGACTGAGTAACCTAGACAAGCATGATGGAGGTTGGGGGGCAGCCTTGTTCAAAAATTCATGGGCTGATAGCACATTTGTTAACAGCCCACAAGGTTCGTTCAAAGGTGAAATCCTTGAGTCATTCTCTTAAAGCCATCAGGAGAGGCATATATGTCCTGGCAACTAAAAGTATTAACCCAAGTTCAGCTTGGGTTATATTGTGGCCTTTTCATGTCTCTGTGCCTCAGTTTCCACATCTGTAAAATGGACATTATGAGACTAGCCACCCCCTGAAATGGTGGTGAGAAGTAAGGGTGTTGCTGGAGATGACAGTGCCAGTCAAGCACTCAGCTCAGTGCCTGATGCCCATCGGATGATGCTGTGCCTCTGCAGTTGTGATTAACACGAATCCGGTTGAGTTGAAGGAGGAATGGGGCTCATTCAGCCCCACTGGTGACCAGGGGAGGGCCTGAGAGGTGCACAGAGGGAAGGGCTTAGCTCAGTGTGTGACTCCTCTTGTTGAGTTCACCGCCATAGTCCCCCATCCAACACCCCCATCCCAGACCCCCCCTCCAGGTCACCAGCAATTAGGGAGCCCTCATCACTCCCCACCACTCCAACTGGGAGGGTGGTTGTGTTGAGTGTGAAATAACAGACCGCAGGCCTTGCTCAGATTGTTGAAAACTGAGATTTTAATTGAATCGCTGTTCCCAGCAGTAGCCTTACCCCAAGTTTTCTAAATTCTCTCATTGTTGGTTGGAGGCATGGGTGGGAACCAAGAGATGGGTGATGAGTGCCTGAGAGAGTAACTGAGAGCCAGTAACTGGGGGAAAGTGGCAGCTGTCTCTACCTTCAATCTTTGGGTTAAGAGCAAGAGCTTGGGAAAAGTTATGTGGTCCAATTCCCTGCTTCTAGGATGGCCGAATTTAACCAGCCAAGTGTGGGATCCAAGGAATTCTAATGTGAAATATGAGTATAGATCTGCCACTTAAGAATTCTTCACCTCTCCATACCACGATTTTCCCCATCTGTATAATGGGACTAACAGTAGGACCTACTTACCCACACAGGTAGTGTCTATTAAGTAAGATGATCTATGTGCAAATGCTTAGCACAGTGCCTGGTTCAAGGAAGGCACTTAGTACCAGCTCCACACCAGATCTTTGTCACCCCTACTGTTGCACTTAATCCCTACCACACCTCTGTGACCCGTCTCTGAACTAATTTTACAGATGAGCAAACTGAGATTCAGAGAAGTGGCACATCTTGTGTAGGGTCATACAGTTAAAGCAGCATGCAAACACACCTGCCCTTTTCATTGTCACATTGCCTTCATTGTGGCCAGAAGGCTATTTTAATAACCTTGGTCTCATGCTTCTTGTTCTACATGTTCAGTGGAGAAAATTGGTGTCCCAGCTGTTCCTAAAACTCCATCTCATCCCCTGTCTTTTCTTTTTAAGTAAGCAAGGTGTTTCTCACTTCTGGAGACACATGACATAAGTCAGCAGAGCCAAAAAAAAAAGGAAGGGTTGGAGACACTCACTGGGCCATCTGGGACAAAATAATACAAAAGAGAAGGCAATGCAGGAGTTGAACTCCTAGGGGAAGACAGCGAGCAGGAGGATGGGAGAGACCCCGATGCGGAAGGAACCATGTGAAACTGAACTGAGATTTGAGAGATGTTTTTCAAAATTTTTCCTTCTGAAAGGTGCCACCGATGTTAAGGAAGACAAGATGAGGGAAGAGATGATAGCTTGAAACTGCACGCCACCCAGCAGAAGGGAGCGTTCTGGCAGCTGCCAAGTGAGGATGATAATATCTGCCTTTGAGGGGTGGGGGTGAGATGAAGGGAGGTGAGGAGTCTGTAGCCTGGCAGATAGTACATAAGCCTGACACCTGGGACACCTGGGAGTTCTCGCTGTTGTTAACTAGATGTGGGAAACTGGCAGCCAGTGAGCTGCACTGAGTCCTGCAGATGTGTTCTTTCGTCTATAAACTTCTTTAATTCGAGAAAACATAGTAAACAGGTTAAGAGCACAAACTGGAGCTGGATCTCTGGGATCTGAGTCCTGGTTTCACAGCTCAAAAGCTGTGCAGCATTAGGCAAGTGACTTTAACCACTCTGTGCCTTAGTTTCATCATCTTTATATTTTATATTTTATTTTTTTGAGTTGGAGTTTCACTTCATCACCCAGGCTGGAGTGCAGTGGCACACCCATGGCCACCCCAGGATTAACCTGCAGGGCATCAGCCATCCTTCCGCCTCAGCCTTCCAAGTAGCCAGAACAATAGACACACACTACCGCACCTGGCTAATTTTTTATTTATTGTAGAAATGAGGTCTTACCAAGTTGCTTGGGCTGGTCTCAAACCCGCGGGCTCAGGCAGTTCACTCGCCTTGGCCTCCCAAAGTGCTGGGATTACAGGTTGAGCCATCGAGCCTGGCCAGTTTCATCATCTTTAAAGTGGAGGTGATAATACTAATAGTCCATACTTCATAGAGTTTTTGTGAATATTAAATGGGTTAAGCACTAAATGCAATGCCCAGACAGAGTAAGCACCCCATAAGTTATTTTTTTTAACATTTAAAATTTAGGAAAAAGTCCCAACTTGTTTTATGACACCAGCTTTGCCCTAATATTAAAATCAGACAAAGACATTACTACAAGAAAACTACAGCCAGTATTCCCCATTAACAT